GAAAAAGGATACAAACACACTGTACGTTCGTTTATAAAAACTTAAAAGCATTGGACACGTTGTGTGGCAGATTTACAAAACTATGGCTTTGAATAAAATTAAGTAAATAGTTATGAAAAATTCCCACATGTGCGTTTTTCATGATTACATTGATGTCAACGAATAAATGTTTTCATTTGCAAAACCCTATAGAAAACAAAAAGACAGTCGAAGAATAAATTTTATGAAACTAAACGAAACTTTTTTTAAAAAAAAGTTCCAAATAAACATGTATGATAAAGCGTATTTTCCTAAAGAATAAATACATGTTATAAGAATCTTTACATTGATTATAGTTTCGAAAAAACCTATTCAAACAAACAAAAACAAAACCAAACAGATCGATCCCATAAATTTTCAACAGAAAAAAATAACGATGAATTTATCAATAACCATTAAATGTTCCAGAGAAATGCATTTGAGACACGAGAGATACAGAATACACTTTTCATCTACCTAATATATGAACACATTAATATCACGAAATCGTAATCATAGGAACTTACTACAGATCTCACTTAAAGTTTAATATTCATCAATACTTCTATTGAGCATTTTGAATGTATTTTTATCATTTGAAAAGGTACATTTGCAGACTTATATCATTGTTGTTTCATAAGCTGGATAAAGTGAAATTATGAACCGTAACTGTTTTAAAATACTGGAAGCAAAATCAATCGTAACAATGGCAACGCAAAGCGGAGCATTCCCGACAATGAGCATATATATTATTAGTTTTTGTTGTATGAGAAAATCCGTAGCTTTAGCGATTTGTTTTTTTTTTTAATTTTACTGAATTTGAAAGATAACCATGTGTCTTTCCGCATTATTATTATGGAGGTAAATTATTTTTTTTTGCAAATTCCCATTTCTATATGTGTAATCTAATAGAAATTTGCACATATATAAGAGAATATTCAAAAATTTTATGGCCTATAAAATCTTAAAAATTGAAGCCTTTTTAATTATATCTGAATCTCATAATCAATATCTGAATCTAAATATTCCATTTATACAATTTTCTGTTTTGAAACCTTTTTGAAACCTTCTTTTGAAAAGTAAGCGATAATATATCTTAACGACGTAAGTATTCTCTTGAGCATGATTTAAGTTAATGCCTAGACAAAACTTATGTTTATTAACTGTAAGAATTAATCTAATGCACTTATACCAAATCTAAGTAATACTCAGGAAGAAAAGTAAAAAAAAAGATTGTTATTTATTATTTTTTGAATGTCAAGAATGTATTACGTATACTGTAAATTCCCTTTTTTCGCGAGTACTCATTTTCGCGAATTGGCTATTCGACGTCAAATCGCGAGAATCATCATTCGCAAATGGTTGATTGAACAATAGATTTTAAACAAAGTTCAGCACAATAAAAATAAAGGCGAGTAATTTTATTTCGCATGTGGTGCTTCTCGCGAAATTACTCGATAATTATTCCAAGCGTTTTTTTCTTTGTTTTGTTTTGTTTTTGTTTTGTTTTGTTTTGGTTTTTTTTTTTTTTTTGGGGGGGGGGGGGGGGGGGTTACAGTATAATATGAAATTTATGAATTCCATTCGTTTCTCGGATCAAAGGAAAGGTGCTAAGCTGTTTGTGTCCAATCGACAGGGAAAATTACATGTCCCAAGATCCTGATGCAATCTCTCATATTTCCAGAATCCATATATAACTCTGAATTTGAAATGATTATTTTTAGTAAAAGGACCTTTATATGAATTTAATAACGATTCTATGGTCAAATTGTCTTTTAAACATTGAAGATTTTCTTTATTTTTATCAATTAAAATGTTTAAAATCCAGATTTTAGCAAACGAAATGTTTTTTTTAACCAGGAGACAGCTATAAGACTATTACTCATGGACTTGGTAAAACCCCAGATTTTGTTGTTGTTCAGTTAAAGATGACCGATGGCTATGTGTCCGAGGCAGCAGGTGAGTCTGACCAAATTATAACTTCACACTTTCTGTAGAATCATCGATGTTCGTGGAGGCCAAATGATCGTCGATTTCGTGGTCTACTTTAAATCATGATTTTACTTCCCCTACGAACAACTACTTTGTCTTCATATTTATTAACTAAAATAACTTCTATATATACATGTAAAATTACCTACAAACTTTTTTTTACAGTTTCAAAGAACCACGAAATTTTGTTTAACCACGATCATTGTATTTACATTAATGATATAATTCCACGCCTACTTTTTCTCAGTTCGTAAACTTTTTGTATTTTACATTATAGACACAAGACGATCCATTTAAATATTTGTTTATGGCATTCTATTGTAGGTGTGACATTTAATTCACAAGTCTTTAATGGTCAAACCATCTGCGGGACTGTTTTTGCATTTAATGACCAAGAAATCCGTCTTTGGTCTATGTCTGGTGAGGTTTATATGTGAGCATAGTTATTGATAAAAACTTGTTGATCATATAATTTTTTTTACGTTTGTTAATAGCTCCGAGTGTTTTTTTTTAGCTCACCTGAGATGAAAGCTCAACTGGGCTTTTCTGATCATCCGTTGTCCGTCCGTTTATCTAGCTGTCAGTCCGTTTATAATGTTTTAAAAGTTTCATCTTCTCTTCAAGAACCACTTGGCTAATATTTATCAAACTTTGTACAAACATCCTGAGGTAGTGTAAATTCTAAATAATCAAAATCATGACCCCCGGGCGAAGGACGGGACCACAATAGGGAATCTTAATTTTTATATTGCAATATTCAGGGGGGACTTAAAAAAATTCTTCTCAAGAACCACTTGGTCAGAAAAGCTGAAACTTTCTGGGAAACAGCATCGGGTAGTGAAAATTCGAAATTGTTCAAATCATGACCCTCGGGGGTAGGGTAGGGTCACAATAAGGAAACCAAGTTAACATTGAATTATGTAAGGAACTTTAAAATTATCTTATCATGAACAACTGGATTAGAAAAGCTGAAACTTATGTTGATGTATCGCTGGGTGATGTACAGTCCCAGAGCTGTCCTACCGGTCCCTTAGAGCAGTCCTGGTGGGCGTGGTTTATTTTTGTAATGGAAGAAGCTAACTCTGAAATTAGATTTCCAATAAACAACAGGACTATGAAAGGCAGTTAAAATTGATTCTGTGTAGTATGCAAGGAATCCTTACATGTAAACGAATATCATTTATAAACAGTACGCACATAGAAACAATTTGAAATAATATTTACTGATAGAAGAAAACTTTTACTCCTACATGTATGAATTACACTGAACATGAATATTTCATCACATTTATCTGGTACATTAATCATTCAGTTTCTTCATTTTCTGTGATTGATACTGATTCCAATATTCATTCATTTATGCCAAGTAAAGGACAAAATTTGCAGCTCTCTTCTCGAGAGGAATTTAAAACAATTAAGGAATGAATTTAATAGTTACCCATTTCATATGATGATTGAAAAATATTGGTATATACACCCTGTAACGGTTGATTTTGCGCATATTTAAAGAACGCGAAGCGCGCACCATAGTTTATTAACCGACAGTCTATTTATAGAGTTTCTGTCCTTGCGCCTGGTATTTGATTTTTTTAGAGATTACATTATTAAAAAACTTTATTCAAATTCTATTTGAATATTAATCTAGTTGTTATCTATTTTTTATTAATTTTCAGTGCAGTAATTTGAATTTATAAAATTAGTATTTTGTTGAGTAAATCTCTAAGAGATAAAATGGTTTGTCAAGTAATTTATTTATACTCACTGTGCTGACGCCCCTGTGTTGAATGGAACGTGTTCGATTTTGAGTGTGATGCGTGTTACGGTAAGAAAGTTGTTATTCTTGTGTTTTATTAAACTTGAAAATTATTAATATTATATCCTTTTATCGTATATATAATACTAGTAAATACCGGTATATTGTTTATTTCAATGTAGAGACCACACACGCAGTGTTAAATATTTCATGTATGAGTGACCGGGTGTGGCATCGCCATATTTTGGTGGTATTTGTTCAGTTGAATCTAAATTCATTTACTGATTAATTCTTTTATTTTTGTTTGTGTGTTCTATTGGTAATGTGTGTATATATTTTGTTTGTATGTAGCTCATTGCCAATTTGATGTTTAATTAAAAATAAAGAACCAGAAAAGGAACTTGACTTTAGTCGTTACAGATGGCGTCGTGGACAATCAATTTAAAAAAAATCTTTTGGCAATGAGTTACTTTTAGGCCCACACTCGATGACAACATCGGAATTCTGAAGTGCCTTTATCCTTTGTTGACGTTTAACAGACTACAGTTTCATTCGATTGACATTTCTGATGTCCAGAGTTCAACTACCAGTTAACCGAGTGTACTCGCCAAAGACTCTGAGTTTGGTTTATGATCAACGGCAACGCAACAGATATCTGAGTATTCCAAACAACGCCCATTGAGGTGATAAAAAAAACTTCACCTGTTTATAACTGTGCACTTAAACAATAAGTATTGTGTAATTATATCTGTGCATTAGTGTTTTAATCCACTCTTTCAAAAATGTCTACTAAGAGGGAAATGAAAGAACTTCTTGAACTTGAAAAAGAAAAATCAGAACAGTTACAGAGTGAAATAGCAACACTTCACCAGAGCTTGAAGAAAACTGAAAGTGCTTTGAGTTTAAAAAGAAATAGAAATGAAATATAAAAATGAACCAAAACCAAATAAAACTGTCTATGTTGCGAGAGAGAAAAAGATTGCAAGGTTGTGTGGTAGACCTGTGAAAGAGAGTGACCTAGATGTAGCAGAATGGTTAGATGATGCTAGGCAACATTTAAAAGTTATTGATGATGAAGATGCAAAGACCTAGAATGGAAATAGATACATCTGACAAAATTTTAGATATCATTAAAGATGTTTTAGCAAGTACAGAAACTTTGGGCGCGTTGCAAAAGCAATTCTATCAAAGAGATCAGAAACATGGCGAGTAGTTGCAAAATTACTCTTAAGCGTTAATGAAATTACTCGACAAGATCGTGGCAAAAGATTACAAAGCTGTAAGCGATTTCGATGAAATGTTAAAAGAGCGGTTTGTTGAAGTCATTCGCGATTCATCTCTCCGAAGAGAGATTAGACGTTTTTCGTTCGAACAGAAATCTATGCCTTTTGGTGAATTTAGACAAACAGTGTTACGATGGTCCGAAGATTACAAGAGTGAACCACTAGGTAAGTCATGCTCAGTACATGAAACTAGCATTCAAGAGAGTATGAAAACAAAAGTGACAAAATCACATGATGATGGTCAGTTATCAGAGATTCTTGATATTCTTAAGTTGCAACAAAAGCAAATTGATGAAAATCAAACAGAGTTAAAGAAATTATCAGAAGAGGTTATGAGAAAAGTAAATCCACAGTTTGAAACCAAACCTTTGCAAGGAAGACAATTTCCTAAAGTCAAACAATCCCATTTAACATGTTTCCGTTGTGGCGGAAAGGGACACAAAGTACAAGACTGTAGTACTCAGTTAGAAAACAACAATCCTCCACGTAAAGGTAAGTCACAAGGGGCACCTGTCTCTAATTTTCATTTAAACGCGAAGCGTCTGTTGTAGAGAGTCGCCCAACAGACGAAAGTGAGAGGATAAAAGACTCATTTTGATCAGAGGATCATAGACATTGACACTGATTGACACTGGTTCACAGGTATCTACTATCACTGAAACTTGCTTTCGAGATCTGTTGAAAGCTGAACCTAAATTAATTGACGTTACGAAGTGGATGAAAGTGTCTGACGCCAATCACTTACCGATACCATACATTGGTTACATTGAGGTAGTGATAGACACTGCTCATGGACGTGTACCAAATGTTGGAATACTGGTGGTTAAGGATACCTCAGACCAATATGGTAAGCAGAAAAAGTTACAAGTTCCTGGAGTACTCTGAAGTAATATCTTCCACATTCTAAAGGAACAAGTGGAACAAAATTTGTATTCAGTCACTAAGAAGAATGATTAGTTATTGAATACTTTGTCGATTTTTGAAATGAATACGTCAGTTTACGGTTCTCAGAGATCTAGTTTTGTCAAAGTTGCGGGTCAAGATCCTATTAAAATTCCTGCAAATTCAATGAAAGTTGTTTTAGGTACTGCACGTCAGACGTCCGAGAACTTCAATGGTCTGGTCCAAGCTGTCCATGGCAATAATGGTACTCTACCGAAAAACATCTTAGTGATAGATACCTACGCAGATATAGAGAATGGTATTATTCCAGTTCGAGTCGTTAACATCGGAGATGAAGATGTTTGGTTAAATCCAAAAACCAGGATCGGTATCCTTCATGACGTCAAAGTTGAGTACGCTGCTCAGCCCAACTGCCAAGCAGAAATTGAGGTAAGTACTCAAGAAGTTCAAGTACACATTGAAAATATTCATGAGAACTTAGAAAGGGTAGATGATGTCAAAGCAGTAGTCAGCACAGATAAAGCCATTCAAATTCATGGTGTAGAAGTAGATGTTGGAGGAATCATATCAGATGACGAGAAAGAAAGGTTGGTATCAGTTCTGAATAAGCATCAGGACGTTTTCTCTAAAAACAGCGACGATCTGGGTTCTACCGATACGGTGAAACACCAAATACTTACCACAGATGAAGTTCCTGTTAAATTGCAACACAGACGTATACCTCCTAATAAAATCGAAGAAGTTCAGTTGCACATTCAAACTCTATTGAAACAAGGTATTATTAGACCCAGTACAAGTCCATATGGAGCCGCTGTTGTATTAGTACGCAAGAAAGACGGTACATTACGTCTTTGCGTCGACTATCGGCGACTAAATCTCAAAACAATCAAAGATGCATTTCCAATTCCCAGGATCGAGGAGGAATTAGACGCACTTCATGGCGCTAAATTCTTTTCTACATTAGATCTAGCACAAGGTTTCTATCAGGTACAGATGAATGAGCAATACCGCCAAAAAACGGCATTCAGAGTTGGTCCCTTGGGTTTGTATGAATTTGTCCGCATGCCTTTCGGTCTTTGTAATAGCCAAAGTACTTTTCAAAGGTTAATGGAAGATTGTTTAGGTGACAAAAATTTCGAAATCCTCCTTTTGTATCTCGATGATATTCTTGTCTGTTCTCAATCATTCGATGATCATTTAGAACGACTTGAATTTGTTTTCAACAGATTAAAATCTCACAATCTAAAAAAGAAAACCTTCAAAGTGTCACTTTTTGCAAAGAGATGTCAAATACTTAGGTCATGTTGTTAGCGAAGACGGTGTCAAAGTTGACCCAGAGAAAATTTCTGTAATCAAAGAATGGAAAACGCCTCAAACAGAAAAAGAATTGCGTTCCTTTTTAGGCCTAGCTGGGTACTATCGCAAATTTATAAAAGGGTTTAGTCAAATTGCTGCTCCTCTTCATGCTGTACTGTCTAAACAAGAGAAAAAGACCAAAGGTAGGAAAATTGTAACAAGGCAAATTCCGTTCAAACATAAATGGAATTCAGAGTGTGACAATGCTTTTGAAAAACTTAAATCATGCCTTACAAACACTCCAGTTTTAGGTTTTCCAAACTTCAGCTCTCCATTTATCGCAGAAACAGATGCCAGTTTCGATGGTTTGGGTGCAGTTTTGAGTCAACAGCAGGAGTCTGGAAGAGTCGTGATCGCCTATGCATCTAGAAGCCTTAGACCAGGTTAGAGAAACATGTCGAATTACAGCTCCATGAAATTGGAATTACTTGCTCTAAAATGGGCGGTAACTGAAAAGTTTCGAGAATATTTGTTAGGTAGCAGTTTTATCGCATACACTGACAACAATCCCTTCAGTTATTTCAAAACAATAAAGTTAACAGCCAATGAACTGAGATGGGCTTCGGAGTTGGAACAGTTCAATTTTGATATCAAGTATGATCCGGAAAGTCAAACAAACAGATAGTCTTAGCAGAAGGTATTTAGAGAGCAATTCTGAGGAAATTTTAGCAGAATTAACACAAAGTATTTCCTTGAGAGAGTTTATTACAGACTGTCAGACAATTACAACGGACAAAGAACTAATTCCTATGTTTCCTGAATACACTTCAGACGATTTACGGAAACTGCAGGTGGAAGATCCAAAGATCAATAGAGTGCTTCACTGGATGGAGATTGGTCACAAACCAACATCACGTTAAATTTCAAACAAGAACGGGGAGGTGAGAAAATATCTAAGGAAGTATCATTTGCTACAGTTCAAGAACAGTATCTTGTACATGACAAGCAAGGGATTGGATGGCGAGTGTTTGCAGTTAGTGTTACCAGAATGTCTTAGACCACAGGTAATGGAGTCTCTGCATAATTGTTCTGGACACCAGGATCGAGAGAGGACATTTGCACTTGTAAGGAAAAGATGTTACTGGCCAGGAATGCAGGCAGACGTGATAAAATGGATCGAGAGATGTGAAAAATGCAAGATTGCTAAGACACCAGTTCCAACAATAAAACCATCAATAGGTAACTTGACAGCTTAACAACCATTAGACATTTTGGCAATGGATTTTACATTATTAGAAAAATCTTCAGATGGTTTTGAGAATGTTCTCGTTTTGATGGACGTTTTCACGAAATTTACCATGGCAATTCCTACAAAGAATCAAAAAGCCTCTACTGTAGCTAAACAGTTATTCTACAATTGGTTCTATAAAATTGGCATTCCGAGTCGTTTGCATAGTGACCAGGGTAGGAATTTTGAGGGCGAGGTGGTTAAAGAGTTATGCAAGTTGTATGTTATCAAAAAGTCACTTAGTACTCCCTATCATCCTGAAGGTAACTTGCAATGCGAAAGATTCAACCGAACGATGCATGATAGGTTAAGAACGCTTGATGCGCAGAGAAAAAGAAAATGGACGGCGTTTTTGCCAGAACAACGTTACACCTCATTGTACTACAGGATTGACACCTTATTTCCTCCTTTATGGAAGAGAACCAAGATTACCTGCAGATTACTTGTTAGGTACCAAAAAGGACGATGTATGCTATTGTATTGTAGACGATTGGTTTAAGTCCCACAAAGAGCATCTTGAGTACGCCTGGACTGTTGCAGGTAAGAACACAGAGAAAAGCGTAGAAAAACGACGAGAGTTTCACGGAAGTAAATCTACTCCTTGTTCAATTGATGTAGGAACAAAGGTTATTATCAAAAACCATGTACAAGGTAGGAATAAGATACAAGATGTGTGGAAATCAGATCCTTACATTGTCACAGGTAAGTTACGGAAAAATGTTTACGAAGTAAAGTCAGCAGATGGTAGCAATGAAACAAAAGTTCTTCACAGAAACGAGCTCTTAGACATGAAAGAAAAACACCAAAATGAGCATAATATTATTTGTGAAGAGTCTGACTCTGATGAGGAAATAGAGGCATAGATTATGACTTTGATCGAAAGACATTTCTTTGTGTTTTTATCAATTGTGTATATAGTCCGTTTTATCTACTTGTTGATGAGGGCATCAACAAAATTTTGCGGGGAGGAATGTAACGGTTGATTTTGCGCATATTTAAAGAACGCGAAGCGCGCACCATAGTTTATTAACCGACAGTCTATTTATAGAGTTTCTGTCCTTGCGCCTGGTATTTGATTTTATTTAGAGATTATATTATTTAAAACTTATTTAAATTCTATTTGAATATTAATCTAGTTGTTATCTATTTTTTATTAATTTTCAGTGCAGTAATTTGAATTTATAAAATTAGTATTTTGTTGAGTAAATCTCTAAGAGATAAACTGGTTTGTCAAGTAATTTATTTATACTCACTGTGCTGATGCCCCTGTGTTGAATGGAACGTGTTCCATATCAAAAACATATATTTTTACAGATTCACTTTATGGAAGTAAATAGATTGTGTATCTCTTATTTTATAAAGGGAAAGAACACTCTGATTAACAATCTTTTTAATGTTTAGAAAACTTTTAATTCTGAATAACTTCTCCCACTTCGATCCCCATACACCAACACTTAAACTTGTATGTATAGAGCAGTCCGGTCATCAGGGCTGCAATTAGGTAATAAACCAATTATATAATGCCTGAACTGTCAATGAAACAGATTATTTTTCCCGAAGTGCAGGGAACAGCTCAGTGTGTTCTATTGCCCGATGCCAACGGCTCAGGCATTAAATAATTGTATAAGGTTTTATTTTATGGTTGCATGGAATACCCTTTTTTGTGTGCATGGTACTTGTAAAACGTGCAGTTTTTTTCAATTAAGAAAAATCATATCTAAACTGCAATAATATTTTTTAAATAAGAAATTTTTTACGTCGATTTATTTTTGCGAATTTTGTCCAGAGAGCTGTTGATTAATTTTTACGCTTCAAAATTTTGCGGATTGTCACTGGCGCTAAAAATAAAAGTCACTTAAGATATTCATATCACTTTATGTTTCAAATTAGTATGCATAGTGAGAATACCACTAATATACTCGCAACGTGGCAAGAAACTGCAGAATCGCTCCGAAACAATTTTGAATATAACAAGATGTGTTTGTGAAACACTCAGAAAGAAATGTTGATTGTCTTCTCTCACGAGAGATGACACATTAAGTTTTTTTCCTGTCAATGTCCCGTTAATGTCAAAAATTATTTTCGCCCATTGATTAATCTTTGTTTTGACTGTAATGAATCAGTTTGCACCTGTTTTTTGTCTAATAATAAGTCAAATGAATATTGCTCAGAATCTGAGAGTGCAGATCTATGTAAACTTTTGAACCAAAATCGGCATTAAAAAAACTTAACAACCCTTCTCCAATAACAAACATCAAGGATGATGACAAACAAAATGTGTGTGATTCAAAGACTGGCCTTCTGAAAAAAGTTCTGCATTTTGTAAATTTGAATGTTTGTCATATTTTACCAAAATTAGATGAATTAATTTTCTATTTACAGGATCAACAAAATGTTGACATTTTTTCTTTATGTGAAACTTTTCTTGATGAAAATATTAGTGATTGTATTATAAATGTTTATGGATATACTTTTGAAAGAAAAGATGGAAAAGGAAAGGCGGGTGGTGGACTAATTACATATATTGCAAATGATTTGAAATATAAACGACGAATTGATTTAGAAATTAGTAATTTAGAAACAAGGTGGCTTGGAATTAATCTTAAGAATTCTAAACCTATACTTTATTGTTCAGTTTACCGTCCACCATCTGCCCCCTCCTGCTGGGTAAACGAATTTGTTAAAGAAGTTCAGTGCGCTACCTGCTGTGACTATCAGGAAGTGATTATTGCAGGTGATTTCAATATAGATATGCTCAAAGACCCCCCGCAGAGTTGGTCATCTGCAATTGTAGATTTGGGATTAACGCAATTAATTAACACCCCAACAAGAATTACTTATAGCTGTAAAACTCTTATTGACCATTTCTACACTACGCACCCTGCTAACATATGTGAAATATCAGTACCCCCTGTAGGAATGTCTGACCATTATCCAATATGTGCCACCCGAAGATCTAACAGCATGCAACGCAAGGGCAAACATATTGAAATACAATATCGTGACTTTAAAAACTTTAATGAAAATGATTTTTTGCACGATTTAAACAATGCAGATTTTGATGAATTGATTCTTCTGCATGATCCTGATGACATCTTAAACTGTTTGTATGATATTTTCAATTCTATACTTAATAAGCATGCGAAGGTTAAATCAAAGCGTGTGAAATCAGAATTTAGCACTAAATGGTTGACTACAGAAATAAATGATGCTAGGAATATGCGAGATCAATTCCATAAACAGGGAGACATGGAAAATTTTAGATTTTGGAGAAACAAAGTCACCTCATTAATTACTGATTCAAAATCTACATATTATAAGACAGTAATTGAAGATAGTTCTACATAAAAAAATGTGGGGTCATTTAAATCAGCTTGCCTCAAAATCAGATAAAAATTCATCCCCCTCTTATATCACGTATAATGGATTAAATCTTTATAATTTACAAGACATTGCAAATGCTTCTAATGCGCATTTTGCGCAAATTCCAAAAAAATGTTAAATAATCTTTCGTTCTCTGGTTTCGAATCAGAAAAACTGAAAGGATACACTGAAACAAAACTTGGAGATCAAGACATTTATGAAATTCCCTTGATTAATGAAACAAAAGTATTTGATATATTAAAGAGGCTTGACATAAACAAATCTACTGGCATAGATTTTCTTGGACCTAGGTTGCTCAAACTTTCAGCTAGTATAATATCCAAACCTCTAACACATCTAATGAATTCTAGCATTATCAATGGATCTTTTCCTTCACAGTTAAAGGTCGCAAAAGTAACTCCTTTATTTAAAAAAGGTGATAAATCAGATCCAGGAAATCATCGCCCAATCTCAATTTACCAACTATATCGAAAGTTTTAGAGAAGCACGTAGCAGAAAATATACGCATCTTTACTTCACACTTTGATCTATTAATGAAAACACTATCTGGGTTTAGAGAATTTCACTCATGTCAGACAGCTCTCACAAAACTAACTGATAATTGGCTGCATGCAATAGATCAAGGAAATTGCGTTGGCATTACTTATTTGGATTTTAGCAAAGCATTTGATCTTGTAAATCATGATTTACTTATTAGAAAACCCAAATGCTACCACTTTGATCCCACATCAATAAAATGGTTTCAATCATATTTAAATGATCGAACTCAAAGTGTAAAAATTGGTGCGTACACATCTGAATCACTGCCCGTCACAGCAGGTGTGCCACAGGGCTCTATTTTAGGTCCCTTGTTATTTCTGTTATATATCAATTATTTACCTTTCTCTGTTGAACATTGTAATGTTGATATGTTTGCTGATGACACAACAATGCATTTTCATGGTAACAATATTTCACATATTGAAGCAACTCTCAATCATGACCTGTATCAAATACAAACCTGGTGTCAACAGAATCAGATGATTTTGAGTACTGATAAAACAAAGTGTGTGTTAAATGGGAACACACCAAAAGAAATCAAAATTAGAAAACGTTAATCTTCAACTACAACTTTCTGGCCATCCCATTCAAAATGTTAGGACAGAGAAATTATTGGGGGTTCACATTGATCATTCTCTTCAATATTCTTCGCATGTAGATGCAGTTTGCAAACCCTTACTTATAAATTATTTACCTTACGAAAAGTTTCTACCATTGAATACTAGAAAGCTATTTTATAATGCATTTATTTTACCATCAATTTTATATTGCCTTTCTATTTGGGGTAACTCTCCTCAAACTCACATCGATAGAATATACAAACTTCAGAAACGAGCAGCTAGGATTATTTTAAATGAAAAATATGATGCACCTTCAAGGCCACTGTTTAACATTTTAGGCTGGTTAACAGTTTACGAACTTCTATATTTACAGAAAAGCATTCTAATGTTCAAAACTTTTCATCATATGTCTCATGATTTTTTTGAATTTCAAAGTTCTGGATCATACACGTTACGCTCAGAGACAAATTAAGAACTTCGTTTACCAAAATATAAAACAAATTTATTCAAAAATTCTTTACAATATTCAGGGGTTATTATCTCGAATGAGTTGCCTATTAGCATTAGGAATTCCCAATCCCTTGCAATATTTAAAAGTAGTGTTGAAAATTTTTAACTTATGAAACGTACTGGTTCTACATGAAATTTATGTTTTCCTTTTTTTTTTTTTTCAATGAAATGCCAATATCTAATTTATTCTGCTGTAACAAAGTGTTTATATAATATTGTTTCATGTTTGTAATTATTGTCTTTAATGTATAAACATTGTATATATGTTATAAAGAAGGCCCTGAGGAAGACTATTGCTTGCACTAATCGGGTTACCTTCTATAAATAAAGTATTATTATTATTATTATTATTATTATTAAGTTTAATTTGATTTTCGGATGTAAAGTTCCATGGTAAGCTGCCATTTATCGATCGACAATTCTCGGCTGACTCCACTACGCTACACACAAAAAGTGCGAGGCCACCAGAGGATCACCGACTGGTCAGTTTGACGCGATGATGCGATTTTCTAAATATAAAGATGTAAACAACGAGCGATCTGCCTTGTTATTGATAAATTCTTTAAAGAAAACAAGCTGCAAGGAAACCATAGCTAGTCCGACACACACAATCGCCTGGGTGATGGGGGTTCTTCAAAACATACATTGTATGTCCTTATGTATATATATATATATATATATATATATATATATATATATATATATATATATATATATATATATATATATATATATATATATATATATATTAGTCTTCTTGGCTTTTACCTTAATGATGGTCAGAACTATGTAGAATCTTCTAACTAGTACAGCGCATGTGTGAAGATCCTCTGCAGCCGAGGCGTGTATCCAAGAATTCACAGAGAAACAACATCAAATTTAAAACATTCACATAAGTAATCGTATAAATAACTATTAGAGATTGATGGTGAAAATTTTATTTTTTTGGTACATTAGGCAATCTATAACGCGCAGTCATTTTTTTTTTAAATACGTCTGATTAAAGCAATATGAGCTGTATTCTTGAAAATTTTATTTTGCAGGTAAGTAAGCTATAAATTATGATTAATTTGTATGTAATTTAAACACTTCTGACCAATAATTCCAAAATAAATGTTAAAAATGTTTCAGAAGAAATATTTCTATAAGACCTAATATACAGTATTATATAAGGAATAATTATTGTACAGGACGACAATAATTCAATTTTGCTTTAATCAAAGCTTAGAAAAGTTACAAATATGAACAAAAGAAATTTATAGAAGTCTTATTTTTCTGTCATTGAAATAGTTAATGACAAATTTGCAACAAAACCTTCCGATGTCATACGTACATGCAGCCCTTATTGCTTTAATAAAATGTATCAAGAGTAAACAAATTTCAGATATTGAAAGCACAAGTTATAAGCGGATACATTAAAGGGGATGTACAAGCCATATTGGATCAAGTCTGGTGTAAAATAAGATATACCAAGAATGCGCTTAATACTCTACTAAACTAGCCCAAGGTTACTCGAAGTGCTGATGCAATCAGTACCTACTGTTAGAGACCAAAATTAGGAAATGATTAAGTTTATTTTGTTTAAGTTAGGAGGAAATTAATCATGTTAGAACTGCGCAGCTACAGAGTTCAAATGCATTGAATATGATGTCGGTTCTATCATTGATAATATGGCTACAACCATTTGTTTCGTTTTTTTTCTTGTCATTATCGATAATTCTTGAAAATTTGATTTTTCATATGGGGGTCTTCCTGAGGCCATGTCTTTATTTCGTCCGCCATTCCTGTGTCACACAGAGTTCAAATAACATTGATTTTAGTTGATTTTAGAATAAATGCGACTATAACAACATCAAGATAAGAAATTACTTAGTAATATTCCTTAGGTTATATAATTTACTACTTTTAATTGTTGCATCGCATCGTCTGATCAATGAAAAAACGCAATTTTAACCCAAATCCAGCTAATCGTGAAAAAAATTTTCTTTATCCTTCGAATTTCCTCGATCATATCACTCCACTGAGCACGTGTTTGGCATAAGCATATATCTGCTGTGAATAGATGCGTTTATTACCATGATTATAATTAATTTTTCATGGAACAAGTCTGAATAATTTGTTGGTTTCTTTAAAACTAAAAAAAAGATAAAACGTGTCCTAAACATGTGTTTACGGCAGGTCTCTTTTCTGTGACGATAGGAGTTTTTTTTTTGAAATGGGGCGCTGCAAGGAGGATGCTTAGCTTAATCTGAAAATGTTAAACAATATACGCTGCATGAAAAACAAATTGTAATTACATGCATTACATTCCAAAAGTTGATACATATGTCTATTTTGTTAAGCAGTTAGATAGAAAAATCAGTCAGTTTTAGGATTTCCTTCAGGCACCTCACGTAAATAGCTAGATTGTTTGCAATGACCAAAAATTGTATGGAGTAATGTTTGGACATAAGAACACATCATGTCTCATTATATTGACAAAGTGATAAGCTTTCACTAACATACGAAGTTTGATAAAATATATTGAGTTGTTTCTTTGAAATTTATAAGCTAGCACAATGTTTGCAAAGAAAAGTCCATCGCATATGTTATGTCTATATATGTAAATAAAGAGTGAGAGGATACTTCCATCCCGAAAATCTTATGTTTGTTTTTTCAAAATATTCCCAAAGCTTCAGAAATTTTGCATTACTAAGTATGTGATGGAACATGTACTAGCCTTAAATTGTTAAGACCATTTTTTATAAAATATTTTGTTGCAATCTTTCCAGACCTCGATCCTGCCTAGAAATGGCCGACTCAATTTGTTTTTTACGTCCCATTACACGGTATTTTTTTTTTGCTTTTTCTTACGTCAACAAATATGTTTTAATTTAAAGGATTTTTTTCTTCACCTATTAATACGGACCCAATAATTTTCCCCTGAGTTGGGAGGACCACCAAACGTCATTTTAAAGATGGTCTAAAATATTTAATTATTTTAAATTTCTGTAAAATTGTAATTTTGACAACATGGACAAATAGAAAAAAAGTTCTTTTTATTCAGTAAATGTCCTAATCCAATCTGAATGATTTCATTCCTTTTCAAATGGTTTTCCTATGTGTTAAAAATTGTAAATGTTTATTTGACACAGTATACTAGTGGGTACTAAAACAAGGTCATTCATATTGATTTTATGTGTCTAATTTTCGTTGTGTTTCATTAATGATAATTAGGATTTTGATAGATGAAATGTTTCCTGTGACAGACTTACAAACTCTTAATTTTAACTTTGATGGTGCTCATTTTTCCTTACCTGGAATCAAAGAGTTTAAGAATTGTTTTTTTTATATATCAATACGTACACTATTTAACAACTGTTCTATAATAATACTAATTACTTTTTATCCATATTTTATGAAAAAATTTCTTTTTTAAAAGTGTTCATATTATTTGAAACATTTTGCAACTGTAATTCTCTTCTACTTTTTTTTAGATTTTCATATACCTCCATATTAAGAAGAGGTCTGGAAAACAAAATTCTGTGCTAAAAATAGACCTCGTGCTGCTATCCATGAACTATTTTGATGGTTCTTTACACTCATTTTGAAGACAACAGTATCTTGTTTTGAACTTGAAATTACCATTTGAAAGTGCAAAATTTAGTCATTTTCTCAACAAATGGTTGTACAGAGAACATTAATGCACACTTTGCATTTTTTGGAATTTTTTTTAAGGTTCTGCTGAATTCTGTAGCTACGAAGTTCTAAGGATTATATATATACTAAAAATTTGATCAAACTATAATGTATTTTAGCAATTTGAAGAAATTTTTACATTTTGTTCTTACTGCACTAAAGATGGCCGGATATCCCTTTTAATGTATCTAAAAAGTTACAGACATTGGAAGAAAGATCACAAAGAATCATTATAAGTATTTTCTAGCATGTCTAATCTACTCTTTTAAAGAATTTATCAAGCTTATAATTAAAGAACTTGCAATCATTTTCTAAATACAGTTTATTTGCATTAATGGCAAAAAAGTCATCACTACTCCTATATTATTGAAATGAAGCAAAAATTATGAAATATATTTGTTTTAAAATATGTTTAGCATGCAGATAAAGTTTACTAAAACAAAAAATATACGCACTGCACGTAAATTTGTACAGTCACTAATGGCACTATACATGTATATTCTAACAACATCCTTAGGTTCGGGATTGGCAAATTAGGACTTTTTTCAGATAATTTGTAAATGCTTGATTTTAGCTGATAGCATTTAAATGTTATTACTTAAGCTTAAAAGCATGTACGCGTTGGGCAAGGGCCCACAGCCACACAAGAAAAAATGATTCAATTGTTAAATCTTATGTATATTTTGGACAAAAATCTGAGCCTGGGCACCCTCTAAATCTGCCAGTGCTGTAAAAAGTTGATTTGGAATAGTAAACGTTTTGATGTAAGTTTAGGTCATTTCCCCCTTTATAACCCAAGGGGTTCGATGCCTTAATTAAGGGATATCTTTGGGAAGGGTTGGAATTATTTAAGTTAGCGCTTTTGTCTGTTGTCAGAGTAAGAAGCTGTGAAATACATATATGTAAGGTCAAAAGGAAGGCTAAGATTTACTCAACTGATGCTTGTGATTATTTTTGTTTAAAAATTTTACAAATACTGCGCAGTGGTACATTAATTTAAAAAAAAAAAATAAAAGAATATTCCTCTTGTGATTACCCGGTATTCAAAGGGAATTGAAGTAAATGTGAAGTAAAATTTAAACAATTATAGCATGGCTTGTTGGGGAAAATTGGACAAAAAACTCTTCAACTTGACAAATTGATAAAGGGAGAATGGACACTTTTGTCATTAAGAGTTATCTCTATTGTGGATTAAGTTTACTGTGTGAAAGTGCTAGGGTATATGTTAATGAAACATGTCCTAAACTTTGTAGTTTTGATAATTTCCAGATAAAAAAGATTTTTAAACATTATTCTATTGTATTTCACGCAGTGTGAAATGTTTTAGCAAACATATGAATCATGATATTATTCAGACAATTCTAAAAAATCAGATTTACAAATCTGTGTACCAGCCCTCTTAACCGTGTACTGTTGTAATTGTTCAATTTAATTCCTTATCCCTTAAGCATCCCTTATCCACACTTTTTGTTGGAGAATAGTCATGTACTAACAAAATAAATTTGTTTTACGAAAAAAAAAATTGTTAAAATATTTCCTTCTCATACACAACATAGGATTTTGGACTTTAATTACTACGCTTTTTCCTAATCTAAAATTGTTCAGGCAAGGTGCCACTCCCCTTCTCTAGAAGAAAAGAAAAATCTGTAATAGCTGAGAAAAAATGTTACACTTCACTGTTTTTTCTGTGACATTAATGAAGCCAAAGAGATGACATTTCAGGATTTCTGGAAAGCCATACTTCTTTATTTTTAAGAATGATATTTTTTGCGAATGCAATGCACGCTCAAATTTGCTAAAAAATTATCTACAGTAAAAATTCCCAGATTTACAGTAGTGCCAATGCAAATTTTCAGTACATGATTTTACATTAAATAATTAAATACTAGGCTACATGTAGATATTTTTTTTGTCATATAGTTATTTATTACATGTATTATTCTTTAAATAAACTAAACCACATTTGTGTAAATATTAAGTCACTGAAAATATTAATTTACCATAATAATCTCTTCTTATTAACAGATTGCTTTCTAGAGCAGTCCCATATAGATCCAAGAGCGATCCCGACTGCTTTCTGGGATTGCTTGGGTGTCAGGTTTGGTCTGGACGGTACTGTAGATTCTTCAGTTGTTCAAATCATAACCCTGGGGGTATATATAGGGCGGGGGTTACAATAAGGAATCCAAGTTTAACATTGAAATGTACAGGAAAAATCTTTGAAAGAGCTACTTGACCAGAAATGCTGAAACTTATGTTTCTAGGGTAGTCTAGATTCTACATACTGTAGTTCAAAGAATTACCTTCGGGATAGCAAGGGGTCACAATAGAGAATCAAAGTTAACATTTAAAAATATAAGAAAAATCTCATATCCTCAAGAACCACTGGCCTTGAAAAGCTGAAACTTATATGGAATTATTCTAGAGCTGTGTAGATTTTACAATTTCCAGATCATGTGGCTTGTGCACACGATGGATGGGGAGCTCAAGCAGAGAACTTTAGAGGTGAAATTGCTAGTCTGTACATCCAGGCCTGGATACTGGACTCCTGTAATAAACATTTCTCAACACAATTCATACTGGATAAGAGGGATACAAACACTGTCGAGCGAGTGAGCCTGGATTCGGTGTATAATCTAGATTCAGTATTAGTTTCTGTTCTGGTAAGTCTAAAGTTTCAGACATTTAAAAATAGTCCAACATTAAACAGGTCATATTAGATTCTATTGAGTACGCTAGTTTTAACATTTTACTTTGGTCATGAGTGGCGTTGTAAAATTCTTTCCTTAATATGTTGAGTTTTTTTTTCTATAGATATGGTACACTGTATTTGTTTATCAAAATGAAAGAAATTTTGGAGTTTTTAATAGAATGCTAGTAACTCATTAATTGTCAAGGAAATGATCAAATAATTTTGTTTCTAAAATCGCAACTGAGAATGTTTCTAATCTAAAAAAAAATTAATGAGTGAAAATATGGTCAGTGTACGTAAATATGAAAACAATCAAAATTACATCTCATATAGCTTGTTTCCATGTTTTCTATACACTTGTTTCATGCTTAATTTTTTATCAGATAAAAGTTTTTTGTCCAAACAACGAGGGATTCATGTTTCACGCTGGCGGTAGCGCCATGATTGATACCTCTAATGACCCATATGGAGCTATAATTTACGGATACAATGAGACAGAAGTTATGCTCTGGAGACCATCCCAGACCAATACAAATGGACATTTGGTTTACGTGGGTGGAGAATGGGGTGACGGGCAAAGTAATCAAGAAAGTGACGTTGTAGAAGTCATCGTTAAAGTTATTGACATCACAGGTAGGTATATGATAAGTTTCAGCACATACGGATGTCGAATAAGTGCCGTGACGTCAAAGCTCCCTTGCTACATGTAGCTGCTACTAATGTCCCCAAACTATGAATGAAACTCGTAAAAATTGCCAAGTGAACCCGATACATTTTCGGCCACACTAGAAAACAAATATTCATTTCACTTTGATAAATAGCTTTAACCTTTATTGGTTAAATCCCACTAAACATGCATTAAACATAAAATTTATTTTCCTGATCAGTGAAAAATCTCTGATAATGGATAATGAGACTACAAAAAGATGTAAAAGAACATTATAAGAAGAAGAATTACCTCTGTATGTCAAATAATACAGGTTCTTTCTATGTAGGCACGCCTTGCAACGGTACAGAATTATGCTCGCCTGATTGGTCAAAGACTAGATGCATTTCTACTGGTATATATTCATCTACATGATATTGTAAGGTTTCTTTGCAAAATTTGTTAAAAGTGTAACAACTTTTTTTTTTTTTCATTTTATAAACTTCATTCGAAACTTAACTTAGGATATGAATTAATAACACAGAAAATGTTAGCATTATTCATATTCAAGATTTTTATACATGTTCTACAAGTAATAAGTGTCTTGAATTGCAGTTCATAAATATAAATATTTCATGCTCTCCTTTCTTTAGTCTTTAAAAAGTCATAAATATATCAATATCAAAAGGTTGTGTTAATGGCATGTACCAAATCATATTCTTATAATATTAAATCATAATGATACACATAATCTGTAAATCATGTTTTTCAATTAATATATTGTAGTGATTTTAAAAATATCAATGTATGTTTGTCTTTACAGAATCTTGTCCTAGTCCACCAACCATTGCTAACGCTGACGTCATGGTCTCCAATAATGTTGCTCTATACTCCTGTCGTCAGGGATTTCTTCCGAAATCTGGAACCAACACAATAAACTGTTTTCAATCTGAATGGCAGAAAACAAACCTCACCTGCTTTGGTACGAGAATGTCACTATTTTTTTTTGTGGGGGGGGGGGGGGGGGATTCAGAACCATGTTTTTTGAAATCAATATAATTTTGCTTAAACAGATTATATATTTTGTCCCTTATTAATTACACACTTGTAGTTTCATTGACATGAAAAAAAAACAGAAAGGTCATAGTGGTTTGATGGAGTGAAAAGGAAAACTTATTTGCATTAGGAACTAACTTGAACATACATAATTAAATACTTCATTAAGACGTCAATAAGTAATATCGTATAACGGGTATTTATACTTGCTGCTAATTTTTACTAATTTTTACAAGTTTTATAAATCCGTAAAATTTAAACTCGTAAAATTTCATATGATTTATAATTTGGCTCGTGTAAAATTCCAACATCTTATGTGTAAAAGTAATGCTAATTTTCATTATGCTCACTCCCTGGAGGCTATATAATGAGTTAACTGTCGTATTTTGAACACTTTAAAGTCACTCATCAATGGGGATCATATAGGTAAATCTAAATTAACTTGTATGAGTTATACAAAAATCGTCAATTAATTAATCAGTTAGACCTTCGCTATTTTTAGTCTTCTCACGAAACGCATAACTTATGATAATGACTTAATAATTACCGGACTTTGAATTATACCCATGTTTTCAATCTTGGACACTTTCTTCTTTTTCATGTGCTTTGAATTAAAACTTCGACTTCTTAATAACAATGTACATGTATAACTTTCCCGAACGTTTACTACCTGTGCAAACAGTATCATTATCACACTCAATTAAGAGGCCCTCTGAGGGGCACAGATAGCGTTTACCTGTGTTATCTTTATTTGACAGTCTAAATCAGAAAAATTTTTCTGATAAAGAATATGTACCAAACCACAATTTTTTTAAATTAAATAATTATATTTCAAGATACTAAAAAAGCAGTTTTTTTCATATAAATATTTTTATTTTTATTTCATTACAAGCACTATGGCACAATATATGTAAAGTGAAGACAAGTTTAATATTTACAAAAAATAAATTTTAAATACATGAAACACTTTTAACACTCAATTATCATCACATTGTAAGACCTAATAGTATATACATGTAATATGTTTTTCATATTTTACATTAAAATGGAAAACAGAGCTTATATCTCTTCGGTTCTTTACTTTAATTAGCACTTATTTTTTTCACATTTATTGAGTGTAATCTTTCATCTCTTAAGCACAGTTTTTTCTTCATAATCACTATCCCAGCTCTGATGAGGAGTCTGCGTAGATCATGAGATCAATTGTTCCGTCTTTGAGGCGGTCTCGCAGCAGTTGAAGTCTTCTCCTGATAATTGCATATTTATTGGCTTGTGGTCTGATGGTTCCGCCGACTTGTCTCTGTATCTGTAAGATTTCGTTGGCATTCTGAATGTCTTTGAACAGCTTGATCACTGTAAATATGTTGGGATTAGCATGTTGAACCATTCTCTTTATCTTGCTGTGCCATCCTCCCAGACTGTTGTTTGTTCTTGGTCCGTCCGTGCCGAAGTGGTTCCACAAAAATCGGTCACCATTTACCCACTGCTCTATTACATGTACATAGTTTGTAAAGGTCTGTGTTAGCTCTGTAAGGTCAGCTTCATCTTGGTCTTCCAGGGCTGTAAATCATACATCCTCTATGCAGTCGAGCTTTGATGAATTCAGAGCATCCTTGAAAAAATTTTCCTTTCATCTTACCTTCAAGGTCAACTGATCTAACCAGCCTCATTACCAATTATTCACAGTTTATGTTGTTAGCTCAAATTATATTCAAAATTCACAGTAAAGTAATTTGTTTTCACATTATTAATTGATTAACTTCTTTGTACATTTTCAAAAATGCATAAAATCAATTATCGTAAGATTAAGGTTTTATCATGGAGACTTAAATTGATTTTGCAAGTGATAAATAATAATTTTATTGCATTAAATACATTCAGAGTAGATACTTAAAACTTTAGGTAAAAACGAACATAAAAATTATTAAGCACCATAAAATACAATAACTGGATTCAACGGAGATATTGATAATCAAATAATCTAGAAGAAAAATAAACTGTAAACCAACTTTTATTCGCGACGACTTTATTTCGCGATTTACCGGGGATAAACTAGTTCGCGACGCTTAATTTTCGCGATTAAGGCTATTTTAGATCTGTAGTTAATAGGTATAAAGACTATAAGGACCGGTGCGCGGCGAAAAGTATTCGCGATGACGGGGATCTCGGGAACATCGCGAAATTTTCTTGCACGCGAATAAAAGTTGATTTACAGTATAAGAAAAATCAAAGACTTTTTTGTCTGTTTAAATATGTAAAATGCATTTAAATTGGTATTTTTTTACTACAAAATTAAAATAAATGCTTTATAAAATTTGAATTAAAAAATATTTAAAAATGTGAATACTTTTAATTCATTTTATACGAATAATTGGTTGAATTTTTGAAACATAGGTTAATATAAATTGACTACATAGCATATGCTTAAAATTTTTGAGTAAATAACATTTAATTCATTTTATTAGACTTATTGCTAAGATTTCTTCTAACTAAGTCTTTGACACAGTCTTAAAAATGCAATAGTTTATTCATACAGTTATAACACAGGTAAACTCTACCTGTGTCCCTTAGAGGGCCTCTTAATTGAGTGTGATAATTATACTGTTGATTATAGGGAGTAGATGTTCAGAGAACACACCTTTTCAGGCCATACTTTCACTTCAATTGTGATAGTTTGAGTTGTCTCTAAGAGTTTTCGGTAAATACCAGTTGGACGAGCATGTGGTTTACCTAATTATGTGGTTTATAAAACATTAATAAATGAAGGGCACTTGGCTCGTGTGTATAAAGGTAAATGATATAAAAAAATATATTATGTAATTTGTTGTATTGTTTTTTATAGGATTAAACGTTCCTTTTTCAGAATTTATCTATGTGTAAACTCTGCCTTTTTACTCACAAACTGAATAAAGGTGCGAAGTTTCTTGTAATCATAATTTAGCTAAAACGGACTAGAAGTATCTGTTTTTATTGTTTTTACAATAGTCAAGAAAGTAGTTCTGGTTGAAAAATTCATCGATGTGTAAACTTTTTCTTGAATTTGTTCTCGTCCAATCAAAACACAAGGAATCAATAAATAAAATTAAGATTGGAATTACATGTGTATAATGTTATAGTTTTAATAATCTCTCTCTCTCTCTATTGCATCGGGTTTTCGGGCACATAATTTGTACGTAAACGCATTCAAAATGCTACATGTAACAATCAGTGATCTGGAATTTTACATATTAATTTACATATATGATTAATTAATTTCATTATCAAAATTAAAAGGTCTTGTTGCAATGAATTATTTTGTGAAATATCAAAGGCCTAACATCGATTGTTCAAAATTTATGGCTCCGGTTAAAGTTTGGCTTTTTTGTCAAAGTTGACCAAACTCCAAGGTTAAGGATAAGTAGTTAAATTTGGTGGAACATTCACCGTATTGCAGCTCTTGACGAAGTTTAAAGTTACTCAAAAGAAATACAATCTCTAGCGCAAAAGGTAAAAAATATCTAAGCCGATTGAAAGCTATTGTCATTATAAAAATACATGCCAGGTTTCTCCTTGCACTATTTCTCTGTACCGGTTCCACGACAGTAAACGACTCAAATTTAACCCATGCGAGAAATTAAACATTTTGCGACAAAGTGAAACTTGTGATATTCAAATTTTAAAAAAAATTAAACTGTCTCTGATATGGAATCCGAATAAGGTTGTGTAATTTATATCGTATCATCGCACAATCGAGGTTTAGGTCGATAGTGCGGTGACCAATTGGTGCAATAACGATGACAGGATGGTGTTATTGCAATGAAGCAATGGTGCAGTGGCGCAATGTCGATAATTTGAAGGAGCGACAATGTGATGCCGATAGCGCAACAACGCAATAGAAGGAAAGAATGTTGGCACGATTTCATGATAGCGATGATACAATAGAACGAGTACGATGACGCAATATTTACTATTGTATCATTGTGCTACTGCACCATCGTTATTGCATTAGAGCGCTATCGCTTTTCCGCTATCGCATATTCTGTAAAGGTATATCATTGATTTATTATACAAAAAATGTATTGATGCAAACACATTTCATTTGATGATAAATATTTTTCAAGGAAAAAAAATATTCTGATTTTTTTGTGTTTTTTTTTAAATGAAGTTGTTTGCTCAGCACCTCCCGCTGTTGAAAATGCAGCAGTTTTTGTCCAGGACAACAGAGCAAAATATTTCTGCTTAACGGGATACTTCACAACGAAAAATACAGTTGATGTCATCGAATGCAGAAACAGTACCTGGCCATCTATTGACTTAAAATGTATAAGTAAGTATCAAGATCTTCATACATGTTGTTCAAGGAATAAATGTCTTAAATTGTATTTCATGAATATTATAATTGTATGCTCCTATTTGTTTAATCATAAAGATATCTCTTACAAAAGCTGTATTAATAATATGCACCAAATTATATTCTTGAAGTAATGTAAGCCAGAGAGATATACATATTCTGTAAATTATGTTAATAAATTTAGTACATTGTATTAATTTTTAAGATTATCAACTAATTATAGTAATTTTATTACAAGTATTTATATCTTTACAGAATCTTGTCCTGATCCACCCACCATTGCTAACGCTGACGTCATGGTCTCCAATAATGTTGCTCTATACTCCTGTCGCCAGGGATTTCTTCCGAAATCTGGAAGCAACACAATAAATTGTTTACAATCTGAGTGGCAGAAAACAAACCTCACTTGCTATGGTAGGAGATTTTCACTGTTTTTCATTGTTTTGGAAATTCAGACCTAATTAATTAATTAAACATAATTTGTATACAATCTGAGTGGCAAAAAACAAACCTCACTTGCTATGGTAGGAGATTTTCACTATTTTTCATTGTTTTGGAAATTCAGACCTAATTAATTAATTAAACATATTTTTTTTTTACTTTTATTGACCTAAAGTAACCAGATAGGTTATAGTGGTTTGATGGAGTGATAAGGAAAACGTATTTCCAAGAAGAACCAACTTAAACATACATAATTATTTGCTTCATTATAACGCCAATAAGTGACATATCTACACAGAAAGTAGGGATGCTCATGTTCTTATAATTAACAATTCTTGTAGTTTTATTTCTTTCTTGATAATTTTAAATACAATATACAAACAACAAAACCACAATGTGAAACACCGATGCGAAGGTTAAAGTTTCTCAAATGTAAGTCAAACTACAAGGTTAAAAGGTCAAAATATTTGGTATCAAGAAAAGGTCTATTCAAAACAAATATTCCTGCGAAATCTGAAATCCCTTGTTACAGTGCAATTTGCTTAAATGTGATTGCCAATGTTAAAACTCTTTGAAAAAGTTTTAAAGTTAAGCTAAAAGTCAAAGGGTCTTACGGAATGATGACTTTAAACGAGACTGTAGATATTCTTGTTTCATCAACATGCCTATCAATAATTTACCTCGTTTTAGAAAAAGGTTCATACGTAGAGCATGCTCTTACGTATCGAATCAACTGAGATATATATATATATATATATATATATATATATATATATATATATATATATATATATATATATATATATATATATATATATATACTCCATATGCAGGTGATAAAGGTACACTGCTGCATAAGTTTGGGAAGCTGAGGATTGAAAAGTTTAATTCATCACGTTTATCATAAAGCTATTTTGTTAGATTACCATTTACGTCTTTTTCAAGTAAAATATCCAAGTTTGAAACAGAAGTGTCGGACTCTGCGATTTTCTTTAATCTCAAGCTCACCAGGATATATCGTATCGACGTAGGAATGGAAATTACCATTATATATTGACAATATGTCGTCGATATAATTAAATGTCGAGTTGAAGGCCACAGGAAGTGTTTCGTCTTTTCACGCATAAGATTTTGCATAAATTCTTCTTCATATGAATATAAAAATAAGTCTGCTAATAATGGAGCGCAAGTTGTACCCATGGAAATTCCAATAGATTGTTGGAATATCTGGTCTCCAAAAACCACATAGATATTGTCAATCAGAAACTCAAGCATCTTCTTGATGTCAACTTCAGAGTACTTATGTATGCCATCATAATCTGTTTTAGCAAAATAATGTTGCAAATGAGCAATGACAAGGTAGGTAAATTTAGGAGTTCCATTTTTTTTGAAAAAGCAGCTGTCAATGATATGAAGTGAAATGTAAAAGCTATAGCCCAACCCTGTTAAAATTTAATGAGAAAAGGTTAAAGCTTTTGTTTGAAAACAAATAAACAGACAGACGGAACAGTTGGATACGGCAAAAACTATACATCCTCGAATATCACATTAAAGGGACATAATGAGATTTGTGCATGAAAGAGCGATGCCCCGTATTGCAGATCATGGCGAAGTTAAAAGTTTTTCAAATGCAAGTAAAACTCCAATGTCCAGATCAACAGGTCAAACATAATTTAAACCGATTGAGAGATATTGTCATGAAAATAAACATGCCAGGTGCGAAAAATTAAGCATTTTGCGACAAAGTACTAGTAAAACTTGTGATAATCAAATTAAAAAAAAATTAAATTGTCTTTGATATGGAATCCGGATAGGGTCATGTAATTTATATCGTATCATGGCACCATCAAGGTTTAGGTTGATAGTGCGGTGCAGTAACACGATGGTGTTATTGCGATAAAACGATGGTGCGATGGCATGATGTCGATTATGACATGGAGCGAGAATGCGATGACGATGGCGCAACAACGCAATAGAAGGAAAGAATAATGGCGCGATTTCGTGATAGCGATGACACAATAGTACGAAAACGATGAAGAGATGTTCACTATCGTATAATTGTGTTATTGCACCATCGTTATCGCATTATAGCGCTACCGCTTTTTCGCTATCGCATGTTCTGCAAAGGTATATCACTGATTTATTATACAAAAAAATTAGGGATGTCAAAATTGTCAATAATTGATATTCGAATATTCGATAGGAGTATTCGAATATATTCGAATATTCGATAAAATAAATATATCTTGCATTATAAAATGAATATTATTACTCTCCTGTCAAGCAGTATAGGTTTTATGCCATTATTTTGGAAGGAAAACTCATGCAGAGTTTGGTAAATTTACCACCGCAAATATGTTTTTAAATTATCTAATATATGCAGCGTATACATCCAAAATGTAATGATTTTTTTTATTTTTTTTTTAAAAATTCAAAAGATTTATTTTAGTATGTTTCAGATTAATTGATCCTATTACTAAAGTCAACGCTGATAACTCCTATACAATGTGACATTGTCATTTTTTCCCCAATGTTTTTCCCCTTTTTCTTTGTCTCACGCATGCTTAATTAATTAATTGTAAATATTTTATGTAATATCCTCTCTATACTGTTTTGTAAAGTTTATGAGAATAAAGTCTTGTCTTGTCTTATTAATTTATACAAAGCAGAACAATTATCTAATGCAGAAAAATTAAGAGCAATTACCTTTTGCTAATTAATTCCCTGATAATTTATTTTAATGATATTTATATAAACAAGTGATCCATGTGCTTACTGTAAAAATGTATCCTTACAACAACACAAACTGATTGTAAGTACTGGACACTATTATACCACTAATTAATGATCAAATGAATAAATTACTTTGATAGATACACTCTTCACACCTTTAAGGTAATCCAAGAGGAGTGTATTTTAATTTTGTGCAAACTTGATTCAATTTGTAATAAAATTTGCCCAGGTTTTCTCTCTTTTTAATGCTTAATATATTCGAATATTCGTTGACATCCCTAAAAAACATGTAATGATTCAAACACATTTCGTTTGATAAAAAATATTTTTCAGGGATAAAATAATTCTAATATGTTTGTGTTTTTTTTTTCTCAAAATGAAGTTGTTTGCTCATCACCTCCCGCTGTTGAAAATGCAGCAGTTCTTGTCCAGGACAACAGAGCAAAATATTTCTGCATAACGGGATATTTTGCTATGAAAAATACAAGTGACGTCATCGAATGCAGAAACAGTACCTGGCCATCTATTGATTTAAAATGTATAAGTAAGGATCAAGATCTTTATACATGTTGTTCAAGTATTAAATGTCTTAAATTGTATTTTTTGAATATGTTATGTTCCTATTTGTTTAATCGTAATTATATCTTTTACAAAAGGTTGTATTAATAGTATGCACCAAATCATATTCTTAAAGTAATGTAAGAGGGTTGTCCGTAAAGTTCGTGGACAACATTGATAATTACTGACAAACATTGAACAAATTTATGAAACTATTATTTTCATTAAAATAATGTATGTTTCATTTTATTACCATGCAAGTTTTCAAGAAAAACAAAGCACAAATGATTATATTTTTGTCAGATTAAAAAAAGACACTCACTCATACCCAGAGCACTAAAATGAAAATTCTGGACCTTACCCGACGTCAAAAGCATTTGATTACATGTAACTTTTCTTAAAATAATAGCTGTTTAACTCAATTCATTTCTTATGTTGCTTTAACCAGTCATAAATATGTGCACAAAATCTTCAGATTTCATACGTGAAATAATATCTAACAATGTCTGTCTCATATCCTGCAATCAACCAACATCTGTCCACGTTAAGACGATTTCGTTTACGGAAATTAGTAAAGTCGCGTTAAGAAATTATGTTTTACAGCATCGCAATCTAGGAATGATAGGTTTCCTTCACGCATGTCATCCTGTAAACCTTTCCTTCCCTCCAAAAATATTATATGTCACTTAAATACTAATGGACGGCTTCTTTTACTATGTTTTCCCAATTGTTTACAGAATGTATTGGTCTCTGTAGGTGTTTATCCAATGTCTTCTCAGAATTTTATCACTGCTAACTGTTCCACTTATTCCGAAAACGTTCCTTATTTTTCCGATCCGTCTTGATATTTTCTAACTGTGATTGCTCAGCCATTTTCCAACTTTGAACATTCAAATTTTGCAGGTGTGACATGTTAACTTCTGTCAACCTCATGATGTAAAAAGGTTTCCGCAGATTTTCATAAAATACGAATGAAATTTATAAAGTGATAAATAATTTTTTAATTAAAATTTTGCGGTGCTTCAGGTCTCCATTCCAAGTCTAATTATGAAGCCATAATTGTAATTAAACATTTGTAATGGAATAAGAATTTACATTTTTCAATTCACATTAAGTGAAGGATTGAAAATATGCTTATAATAAATATCAATGACGCAACTTTTATTTAATTCTTAGCTTGTCCAGGAACTTTACAGACTACCCTCTTAAGTCAGAAATCTAAACATATCATGTAAATCATATTAATAAATTTAGTATATGGTATAAATTTTAAAGAATATCAACTAATTATAGTAATTTCACTACATTTATGTATATTTTTACAGAATCCTGTCCTCATCCACCAACCATCGCTAACGCTGACGTCATGGTCTCCAATAATGTTGCTCTGTACTCCTGTCGTCAGGGGTTTCTTCCGAAATCTGGAACCAACTCAATAAACTGTTTACAATCTGAATGGCAGAAAACAAACCTCACGTGCTATGGTATGAGATTTTTACTACTTTAAGCTCACCTGAGCCAAAGGCCGAAAGCTCAAGTGAGCTTTTCTGATCAAAATTTGTCCGTTGTGTCTGTCGTCGTTGTAGTCGTTGTCGTCGTCGTAAATTTTTCACATTTTCATTTTCTTCTCAAGAACCAGTGGGCCAATCTCAACCAAACTTGCTTCAAAGAATTCTTAGGTAAAGGGGATTTAAGGGGTTTTTTTTTAAATGAAGGGCCACACCCTTTTCCAAGGGGAATTAATTATGAAATAGATAAAAATTAATGCCGGTTTTTTTTAATCTTCTTCTCAAGAACCAATGGGCCAGGAAAGATGAAACTAATGTGGAATCATCCTCAGGTACTGTAAATTTAAGTTTGTTCAAATCATGACCCCCGGGGGGAGGGTGGGGCCAAATTGGCCGATCAAAGTTTTACATAGGAATATATGAATATCTAGAAAAAATCTGTAAAAATGTTCTTCTCAAGAACCACTTGACCAGGAAAGATGAAAGTCATGTGGAATCATCTTCAGGTAGTGTATATTCAAGCTTGTTCAAATAATGACCCCCAGGGGTAGGGAGGGTCCAAAATGGCTAATTAAAGTTTTACAAAGTATTATATAGAAAAAATCTTTTTAAAAAATTCTTCTCAAGGGCCACACGGCCAGGAAAGATGAAACTCAAGTGGAATCATTCTCAGGTAGTGTAAATTCAAGTTTGTTCCAATCATGACCCCCGAGGGTAGGGTGGGGCCAAGATGGCCGATCAAAGTTTTACATACAGTACTGTAGGAATATATAGGGAAACCTTTTAAAATGTTCTTTTCAAGTACTTCAAAGCCATGATTAGTAATATTTATGTAGAATCATCCTCAGAAAATGTAGATTCTATAGTTCGTTTAAATCTTGATCCCCTGGGGGGTTAAAATTTAACACCCCCCAACCATAGTTAACTTTTAGGTCCGATCTGATATGTGCATTTTCCTAGCCGATGTGCTCGGTGAGCTCTGTGGTCCCCGGGCCTCTTGTTTTTTTTCACTTTGTGGAAATTCAGACCAAAGTTATTTGAATATAACTCTGTTTTAACAGTATATTTATTATTTTCATGCTTTTAAATTAAACATAAATTATGTAGTTTCACTGACATAAAATAACCAAATAGGTTATAGTGGTTTGATGGAGTAAAAAAAAATACTTATTTGCAATAAGATCCAACTTGAACATACTTAACCATATACTTCATATACATATGCTTATGACGTCAATTAGTAAAAAATCTGCCCAGAAAATCAGGATGCCCATGTTCTTATAATTAACAATGCTTGTAGTTTTTCTTAAATGTGAAACGCCGATGCGAAAGTTGACGTTTCTCAAAAGTAAGTCAAACTACAAGGTAAAAAGGTTAAAATATTTGGTATCAAGAGGAAGGTCTATTCAAAACAAATATTCCTGTGAATCCGAGAGCCCTTGTTACAAATTGCTCAAATTTTATGGGCAATGTTAAAATTCTTAGAAAATGTTTTAAAGTCTAAGCTAAAAGTCAAAGGGTCATTATTAACATCAAAAGCTTTTGTCGCAATGAAATACCATGTGAAGATAAAAGCCCTTGTACCAATTGTTCAAAAGTTATAGCAAAGGTTGAAGTTTGTTTTTTTTCCAACGTTGACCAAACTCCAAGGTCAAGGCCAAGTAGTTAAATTTGGTGGTACATGTATCCAAATAAAGATTTTGCAACAAAGCTAAAGAAGTGAAATATAAAAGCTATAGCCCCACCCTGTTTTATTTTATGAGAAAAGTTTAATGCTTTTGTTTGACAATTAAACAGACAGAAGGACAGGTGGAAAAGGCAAAAACTGCATATCCTCGAATATTACAAGTACATTAAAGGGGAATAACGATATTTGTGCATGAAACAGCGATGCGCAGTACAGTTATGGCAACACATGAAAAAAATATGGTAATGAGGTCATAATTAGGTCTGACGTCATGACAGTCGCTCCGCCCTGATTGATCCATATAAGGAAAAATCTCAAAATAACTATTTACCGATATTTGCAAGACTTTGAAATAAACAGCAATATTTTCATGTCTAAATGGAAAATAGTCAGTGATTTTCTCGTATATAAAATAGCATGTCTTTGAAAAAATTCTCTTTTTAATGTGTCGTTTGTCTTTTACCATACAGTAAATGTGTACAATGTATCGAGAACGAATACACAAAATAGAAAGAAATGTCAAGGATTTTATATGCATACCGTTTTGATTTCGTTAAAAAAAAGTCCAGCCCTGTCCGTATGTATAATTATTAAAATTTACGAGGCAAACAAACTATATCAAGTACTCAAGAGTTATCTCCCATGCTGGGTCAATGATGCGTTTGAAAACTGTAATTAGATTGACTCTTCCAAGATTTCAATTTTTAATCAAAAAGTGCAAGGGCAAGGCGACAATTTAAAAAGTAGGTTTTTATTTTAAATTCTTTATTTTATTGTATAGTTTTCTAAAAGTGATGCTCATTTCTTTGTAATCATTTAGTAAATTTATAATTTACAGTGAAACTAGGAAAACATCCTATTTTTCAGATAATACTGTCTGTTTTAGCTGAATAACTTAATTATATCGGAAAATTAACTGAATGAGCATCACTTTTAAGAAAGTATAGATACATAGGGACAACATAAAACATTTTGCAGTTAATTTTTTGTTTGCATTGCCCTTGCACTTTTTGGTTAAATTTGACATCTCATTTTTTGACCTAAAGTCGGAACCCACGTGACTTCAGGGGGTCACATGATGTCAAAAAATACCGAAGTGAAAAGCGATGGACATACTCTTCAAGATAACAAATAGCTATTTTTTCTAGAGTGTCTTGCTAAAAAATAAAACTGTTAAGCATAAAATGAGTTTTTATAGAAAATGTTGCCTTAACTGTACTGCGTGCCTCGTATTGCAGCTCTTGGCGTAGTTTAAAGTTTCTCAAATGCAAGTCAAACTCCAATGTCCAGGTCAAAATACTTAAAAATATTTAAACTGTTTGAAAAATATTGTCATGATGAGAATGCATGCATGTCGTATATCATCGCACCATCGAGGTTTAGGTCGATATAGCGGTGACCCAGTGGTGCAATAACGATGACATGATGGTGTTATTGCGATGAAACGATGGTGCGATAGCGCAATGTCGATGATGACATGGAGCGACAATGAGATGACGATGGCGCATCAAACCAATAGAAGGAAAGAATGATGGCGCGATTTCGTGATAGCGATGACACAATGGTACGAAGACGATGAGGCGATATTTACTATCGTATCATTGTGCTATTGCACCATCGTTATTGCATTATAGCGCTATCGCATTTTTGCTGTTGCACCATGTTTTAATAGTCATTGCAACATTGCTTCTTCGTTATCGCGTCATCGCGTTATCTCGCCATAGATCTTTGATTCGATTCATGATGGTGCGATATTGAATAGCATGGCCCTATCCAGATTACATATTCTAAGTAAGGCGGAACATTTAATTAACTCTTAAGTAGGATTTCTCCTTGCATAATCAATAATCTCGTAGACAAAATCAGACTTGTGATAATCAGAAAAAAGAAACATTTAAAATTTCTCTTACTTCGGCAGAACACTTATGACACATGTATTTTACATCATTTCTTAAGGAGTACCGACAAAAGAGATAACATCACTATATTGATAATGAATGGTTTTTGTGAAGAAAAAAAGGTTTTGGCATTTTATCTTCATTTCCAAAAAGGATCAGGGAATCCTATATATTGTTCAATTGGGACCTAACATTTTAGAATGTGTTTATGCTGTCTAAATCAACTATGTAGAGTTCGTTATTAATTAAATGCAGTATAACTTATATTCCATTAATTGTAGTTGGCTGTGTTAAAGATTGAAGGGTTATATGTTAACAATCTATCTTCTTGTGTTTGATAATCCAGAAGTGAAAAAAGAATTAGATAGATTATTTCATGAGTACGTATTATTATACTTCTGTTTCCTATAAAAAGTTCAGAAGATAAAAAAAACTTTGTTTAATAGTCAACACATAAGACAGCTATACCCCGGGATATAGTTTTTACTATCCACCCTCGGAAAATTTTCATGCAATTTTTGCCGCCAAGTTTGATTTCCAGCGATAAATTTATTGACTGATGATGTCATAATGACTTCAGAAGCATTGGACGTCATCCGGATTTCTGATTTTTTTTTTTTTTTGCAGTATAATCTTACTGCAAAAAAATTCAAACCTCAAAAATTATATTATACATCAGAATAATAAAACGTTTATCCACTGTTTGTTAGTGGGAAGGCTCTTTCATCAAACCCTTGACAGGGACTATTCCCCTCTCGGGCAAGCCCTCGGGGAATAGTTCCATGTGTTTGATAAAAGAGCTATCCCACTCACAACCAGTAGATAAGTGTATAGTGGTCACTTCCGACAAAGCAGGTAAAATCATCGTCTTCGTTGTAATGCTCATTTATTTTAGAAGAACTTGGATCTAATTCTACAAGTGGTAATCCTACTTATACTCATACTTCCATTTCTAAGGAAGAAATTGTTCAAAATCATATGTCTGTTCTAAATATTTTTAATGTTCCACAGAGCTAAAATAAATTTGAAATATCCTATATATATTGCATTCTAAAACTCCATAAAAATCGTAAAAAACAGAGATACATTGTAGGTTCCAGTAAATGTTCAACTACATGTAAGCTTCTTTCGTTATTCCTCACTAAGATATAGACATTAGTGAAGGAAAAACTTCAGGAGTATTTATGTTACAGTAAATATGTGAAATCAGGAATTTCATGTATTACCTAAACCATTCAGTTAATACATGTATTTACTGGCCATTTTAGGAAATACCTGTAATTACTGAATTACTAGGAAATTCATGTATTTACTGAAAATTTTAGCAAAATTTACACTTTTTTACTGAACTAAGCTGGTTGAATATACATGTCCTTTAAAACATTTGGTAAGTATACAAATACTAATTGTTTTTATCAAAACAGCATTTAATTGATAAGAACTGTTTCTACAAATCTGACGTTATGCATTAAGTTCGAATACCTTTTTGTACTGCTAATGTTAAATGGATTCCCTGATATTCACATATATTTGTAAAGAAGTAATTAATTTGGAGCTTTTACATTAAAATGATGTATTTGTACTAGTTTTTAAATAATTTTTATTTTGTACTAGTTTTTACATAATTTCTATTTTAAAATTTATCAAAAATATACGATTTTTAAATGTTGACATACTCGGTACATCTGTTTATTTGAGTCTTACATCTTTAAAATATGGTAAAATAGATATGTTTTGAAAATACAAGTTAATTCAAACTTATTATGCAAAAATAAATGGTTTTTTTCTATTTTGAACTATTAAAATATGAGGGTGGAAAATCCCTTTTAGAGTTTTAAAGTTTCATCTTGAATTCCCTTTTAAAGTTTCATCTTGAATACTGACTTCAATATTGTCAAATAATGTGAATTTTACAAGATTTTTTTGGGTATTTTTTAAAGCGACCACGTAAGTATTGTTTTACATGTACGCAGCACAGTTAAGGTTACAAAAAGGAGGCGGAGCCTAATTTGTACGGGAAAACTTGTCTATGACATCATACACAATATACGTCATACAACATTTCTTTAAAATACGACAAAATGAGTTTATCTGCTAATTTAACCAGTATAAAATCATCAAACTACATAAAAACTTACTACAGCATGTTGTTTTGTCGTTAGTTAAATCCCACATAACAAGTTATAAACAAGTCACTGATCGCAATACACTTGTCAATATGACGTCATTTCTTACAACGTGACGTAGGTTGTATGCAGTGAGAGACAGATCAAGTAATATTTTCTCAACAAAATATGTATTCTCTAATTAAATAAAATACTATTTACAGATATTCTATGGGACAATATCTTGAATTTAATGTCTTCTTCGCTATTTTAATAATATATTTTCTGTACATTACGTATTTAATTGACACTGCCGTATATTTGTATGCAAGTACATCGGAGGGTAATGTTGGGGGTCTTAATAAATCGATCTAGTGCAAGGGCATACACTCTATGGATCAAAGTAAGCTTTTACATTTCAACTATAGAACTAATAAGGTATCTGAAAAGTGCTGCGATCCTGATGAAATCTTAAAAACAATTTAACTATATCAATATTTCATGCCGCTGACCAGCAAAAAATATAGCATTCGGTCATACAAGTATAATTTTAACAATGAAATTGTAGAATTTAGACAGGATCACAGCACTATTTAGAAACGACAATGCTTTTTGAAAATATTTATATACTAAACTTGGAAATTTAACTTGGTTATGCCCTTGCACTAGTGATATCTATATGTAACATCAATACTTCAAGTCAATGTGCTAAAATTGCGTGACTGCCGCATCACGTGACTAGTCTAAATATAAAATATAATCGTCCTCGATATGTAGTTATTAATCAAAATTACAATTATCCAATGTAAATAATGTACTAAAAAAAATCGCCATCCCGATTACGAATACATTTTTAAACACAAAATTTAGCCGGTATTTCCATTGCGCACCTTAACTGTACTGCGTATTTGCAAATAAGATGCTTTAGGGTTTTTAATTTACTGTCAGTACATGTAACATTGTATGAATATCTAATTTAAAAAAAAGAAATGCCAGTAAGCGATTTTAGTTTTTTAGATAAAATAACTGAAAGTTAGTGAAAGTATGTTGTGATATAGAAAACCCATCCAGAAACTGAAAGCAGAATATCATTAAGTTTTTGGCTAATATTTACAAATAATGCAATTCTTAAAATTCATAAGTAATTAAAAGTTTATTTCAAATATTATTTATTCACGTACGATAATTATGCTAACTGATATCAACATTGAATGCACTGTGTATCTGTTTATATTTTATGATTCATATTTTAAATTATCCAACCAAAATGCAGTCAGTAAATATGTGTAAAAAGTACTGAAAAGTTCAGTAAATACGTCTATTTCCTAACTGAAATTAGAAAATACGTGTATTCCCTAAGCAGAATAGGAATTTCATGTATTTCCTAAAATTCGGGAAATACATGAAATTCCTGATTACACATATTTACTGTAACATATATATTTCCAGAAGAGGTGTGAATCAGATGTTGATACTCAAAAATTCCAAAGAACATTTGAACAACTTGAAATGACAAGATTTTACCAAAATCAAAAGCTTAAGAACTTGGGATTTTTCAACCTTATACACAACCATTTCCCACGAAAAATTAAAGTCCAAGCTTTTTGATAATATTGATAGCAGCTTTTCCAATAAAATGGAACTTGTAAATTTTACCACTATTGAAATACGACTACCTTTGAAATAATTTTTTAGTGGTTGAGAGTACATTTCAAACTGCGAAATGGTCGTATTTCAATAGTGGTTGCAAACTATGTTTATTATTGAAATACTCTCTCAACTACTATTGAAATCATTATTACAATAGCGGTCGTTATTTAAATAGTGGTGCAACAAGGCCGATATTTGGAAAAGAAATAAAATCATAGAAATATATATTTCCCATAAAAAAAATTAAGTGAATTGTTGAGGCATGCCATATGGTTGGATTAATTTTGATGTGAATGTGATGTCAACTTCCTGTTTGTCTGTGCATCTGTCTGTAATGGAACTTGTGTATATTAACATGATAGTGTTTATTATACCCCCGTTCCGAAGGAGAGGGGGGTATACTGTTTTACCCTTGTGTTTCTGTCTGTCTGTCTGTCCGTCTGTCTGTTGTTAAAAAAATTTTCGTCTTTAAGTAAGAAAACAGTATCACACTACCTTACAATACGTCCATTGATTATTCCCATGTCGAGTGTCTGATTTCAATTTGTAAGCCATATTTCAGACTATATGGACAAAAATGTGCAGTAAATTTTCTTTCATTTAACATATAAGGGGAGATTGTGTATCATAGAACAAAATATCAAAGCTTCAGAAAAATGGAATTTGAGGAAAATTTGGAAATTTATGTTCTGCCTAAATTATTTCTTAATGAGAATTTCACTTGCAAACTTAATCATCAATCTAGAACCTCACCAGACTTATACATGCAGTAACAAAGACAAATAAAATATTTTGATTTCACATTTCCATCTAATGGTATAAATGCCAGTTGCATTTTAAAATATATTTTATTATTTTATGTTCAATATACATCTTGTCTTTGAAACAACGAATTGTTGTTGGCACTTCAATTCAGTCAACTCACAAAAATATGCAAATTTACTCTTCATAACAACGACTGATAACTCTTGATAAGGAGTAGCATTATTTTTTTCTCTACCACATTGTATGATTTCAGCGTCATCTTGTGGCCCAGTTCCTAACATAACAAACGCTGATTTTCTTGTTGACAATGACGTGGCAATGTATGCATGTCTCTATGGATACAGACCAACAAATGCCAACAATAAAATAACATGTATTTCTGGAAAGTGGACTCATACCAGTTTGCAGTGCCAAGGTACTATTATCACTTACATCAAGAAGATGCTTGAGTTTCTGATTGACAATATCTATGTGGTTTTAGGAGACCAGGTATTCCAACAAATGATTGGAATACCCATGGGTACAAACTGCGCTCTGTTATTAGCAGACTTATTTTCATATTCATATGAAGCAGAATTTATGCAAAATCTTATGCGTAAAAAAAGAAAAACACTTGCTGTGGCCTTCAACTCGACATTTCGATATATTGACGACGTATTGTCAATTAATAATGGTAATTTCCATTCCTAAATCGATTCGATATATCCTGGTGAGCTTGAGAAAAAAGATACAACAGAGTCCGACACTTCTGTTTCATACTTGGATATTTTACTTGGAAAAGACATTAATGGTAATCTATCAACTATGCTATATGATAAACGTGATGGCTTTAACTTTTCTATCGTCAACTTCCCTTACTTATGCAGCAATATACCTTCATCACCTGCATACGGAGTATATATACCTAAGTTGATTCGATACGCAAGAGCATGCTGTACGTATGAACACTTTCTAAAACGAGGTAAATTATTGACAAGCAAGTTGATGAAACAAGAATGTCAACAGTCTCCTTTAAATTCATCATTTCGTAAGTTCTATGGTCGATACAATGACCTAGTCAGCAGATACAATTTGTCATTGAGTCAAATGCTGACTGACGTTTTTCATACCAATTGTTAGTCCATTATTTATACCCTAAATTGAATTGACGACGGATTTTTTTTCCCGTTATCATTTTTTTCCTGATCATGACTAGGAGCACACGGCAGGTGTGACCGGTGGGAAGGGATAATCACTCCTCCATGGCACCTGATCCAACCTCTGATATTTCGGGGGTTCGTGTTTGCTCTGCTCTTATTTTGTATTGTTTTATGGACTTTGAGATTGAATACTGTTCGTTATCTCCATATCCTTCTTACAAGTAAATAAAAATATGTTTCCTGGATTTATATTTCTTTGTTTTTTCTGGTTTTGTTAGCAACATACTTAAATATACGCGTACGTACTAAAGAGTAACACTGAACACTGAAGAAATCATCAATCTTTCTTGGAGACGAATGTAAATTTTATATATGGGTTATCATTCTTCATAAAGTTTCTCACCCATGCACGATTTCTGTTAATGTACAGGTAAATGAAATTTTCGATATTTCCAAACCGACAGAATTTTGTTTACAATAATTGAATCGATCTCATATAGATAATTGTTTGCTTTTCATAAGTTTTCAAAATGTAAAAAACATAATTTTTTTTATTCTCTAATCATTTGAATTACAATCTTTTTAAAAGCCACTTAAATAAAGGCCGTTCTCGTTTTTTTAAGATACAACTAAGGGACTCAGAGGCTATATCACCAATGAAACGCTTGCAGAATGGATAAAGGAGATGAAGAAGAATCTATCCGTACATAAATCAAACACCAGCGCCTATAACAGAAGTTTGATCAGTGTTTACGAATCCCGTCCCAGTGCCGTACAGATAGGAAGTGTTGGGGTCTTTCTGATAAGTTTTACTATAATAGTTTTAATTTTTCCGGATATAGTTGCTGTTGTCAAGAACTTGTGTAAAAAAATAAATAAGAAATTTTGTCAACGTCGGAGGGGAAGAGATGCAAAATGATGAATACTGTGAAATTATGTATTTGTAGGGGTTTAATTTTCATGATTTTCAATATATGAATTCATTTTATCCACAAAATTTCATTATTCACATGCATTACCATTGAGCAGTTCTTCAAACTCGAAATTAAATCCCCATAATGCATGCACCAATTTGTTTTCGTCAACCCACGACAATTTGACCCCTCGAAAATATGTGTTTTAACAGTATACATGTATTATGTGTTTTGTTATAAATGTCTCTAGACAACACATGATGCACTTTGCTAATCAGATGGCAATCCAGAACATTTCAAAATGAGAAAATTACCTGAAAAATATTGATTGTTATGAAACATGTACTGTTTTTCCATGTACAATGTTGAAAGTATTTCATGTTAATGACCTCTTTATTGTAATTGAGAGCGATGATTAACTTCTTGGTCATAACTTTCCAAATAAATATTTTCATATGAATTTCAAAAATAGGCCATAAGAACAACAGAAATTTATGTCTGAGTAGACAGTTTTGAAGATTTATGAAATACTTAAATGTGTTATGTCGTACTTAGTTTTAGAATTTCGGATTGGCCGATGCTTTTTGAAGCATATATTGTATGATAAGAAGTTGACGTCCGAAAGATATAATATAGATCTGCTGTGCTTTTCTTGTTTGATTGTTTGTGTGTTGCTTTATGTTCCTCTTGAAAATTTTTGCGACACCGGAGAGCTGAAAATGGTGTCATTTGCTAGGCACTTTGAGCTTTTGAGCAGCGAGGGATCGTTTTCATGCCAACATCTACTGGGACTTCAGTTTATACGGTGTTATATACATGCGTAAAAATGTATATTTTTGATAAAGACAATTTGTTAGTTTCTTATATGTTCTTATGATTTAGGCATTGTTACAATATTTTAATTGATATGCTGGGGATTTATCATTGAAAATTAAATGTTTTATTTGATCTTCGGAAAGAGCACTGTAGCAAGTGTTTGTAATTTCTCAAACTTGACATTCCTCTCTCTCACTCCCACGGTATCGATGCTTTTAGCTCATAATTGTTATCAGGTTCATGGTCAGATCTTGGACTGGTGTTTCTTTGAATTTGTTATGCTTACTCAAATTGTTTCCTGTGTTCTAAATTAAATGTCACTGAGCTTTCCCCTAATTTTACTACTGAGTGGAGTTGTAAAAGATGAGACGTGCGTGAGTTTGTTTGTACTTCACTCTCACTTTAGGAATTTTTGTGTAAAAATGTAATTTTTGATTTTGTACTTTTGGACTTGAATAAAATCTTAATTTTAACCAGGAATTATTATTTCACCAACGGAATCATCATTTAAAAACAATATTATTATTACAACAGTATCATCCAAAGGACTGGTCTCCGCGTCGCACAAAGAATTTTAAGCCGGTGACCATCGGCTTTCATAGCATATCGATTTATTTGTCCTGAATACTGTATACAGGTTATTTTTTGCCCCGTGTTATTTTCGCATTTTCACATTCGGAGAAAAGTTTGGTCCGTTTTAAATTCGCCCATAAAGATATTTGTTTAAGATTTTATACTGTTAATATTGAATTCGCCCCGTTTTAAATTCGCCTACTTCCGACGAGGGCGAAAGGGGCTAAAATTAAACGGGGGCGAAAATTTCTATGTATACAGTAATCTAATGTCGGGGCAGACCGTGATGATCTCTCGATGACCTTAGAAAATAAATACAAGCTCCCTTTTTCCATAGCTTTAAAAACTGAAATATTTACTTATTTATATTAATAGATGAATTCATTCTCTAAATAGGGATATGGTTCTATATACCAAAACTTTTGAGAAAGTCTCAATGAAATATTACTCATTGATATAATAGGAGATGCGGATAACAGACGGACAGTAAACCTAATAAATGGATGCTAAATTTAACTACCGTTTTGCATCGACAAACCAAAAAAAAATTATAGTTTCTTAGAAATATAGAATATCTTTTCCATCCTTCGGTTGTCATGATCATATTCTACATATGTAGATTATCAGACATCAATGGATTATTTTGGGAAGAAAAAAATGAACGTAATAATAGGATTATTCTTTTTGCTAACCAGTAAGTTATATTTTTATTGCTATCATGTTCATATGATTAAAATTTTCAAACCATTAAATGCATAAAAAATTCCAAAGCTTTTACTATAACTGGTATCAGCTATTCATACCGATTTTTAGTAGAAGAGTGTAAAGTTGTATCTGTGTTGATAAACGGTCAATGCATGTAACTTTAATTTACAAGTAACTTTAAGTAATGAAAATGTACGATGTACGACATGAAACCTGAATGTTATTTTCATTTTTGTATAAGAATATGTAGAATTAAATAAAAAATCTATAAACGAGTTTTACCAAACATCTATATTTTTTTTCAAATAAAAGAAAACAAATTCTCATTAGTAATTATTGGGAGAGAGAGGAAAATGTGATAAGAACAATTGACGTACTATTGATAATGAAAAATCTGGTGATTTTATTTTTGCATTTCCGCGAGACAGCTATTTTGTATTGGCAAAAAATGACAGAAATTGTTTTAATATTCAATATATATTTCTGATATCAAGTTCTTATGTTAAGAAATCAAATGTCAAGTACATGTATAATATCTATTCATAAAAGATGGTCAACACTCTTGAATTTATTTTACTTTTTTTTTTACTGAATACAGTATAAGAATACCCACTGTACTTTAAATTTGGGGAAAATATGCAAAAATATACAAAATCTTAAGGGCTCAAGTTTGCCAGTTAGCTGACTTTGAATGTTTAATCATTAAGGTCAGACGACACTTTCCTCAAAATATGTTCTGAACCTCTTAATATTATAGTAAAATTTATTCATAATTGCCATTCTCTTGTGATTTCTACACTGGTTTTAATATGTTTTTAGATGAAAGTATACCAAAATTTAAGATTTAGGCCATTCAGAAGATTACCGATAAGGATTATATATAAGAAATTATTTCACCCTTTAGTATCTTGTCCAAATGCCCGGTACCTTAAATTTTTGTAATGAAAAAAGATTAAGTACCAGTTTTTGTTTGATTTGTTGAGTATTTTGATGTTTTTTATTCAGCATTCGAGCGTCGCATATGTTCTGTGTACATCAGCGACTGGGTTCAAGTTGAATCACAAAAATCTAGTCCAGTTCTCATTCAACATCCCCTTGAACAGATGCCTGCAAAAGTTGAGGTGCAGGTAAAAATTCAAGAAAACGGATATGACGTCATTTTCCCTGCATTCGGATCAGCACAAAGAGACGATGACAGTGACAACATCTACGGTGGTGTTGTTTATATTTACAATGAAAATCATGTAAAAATATTTGTCCCTGTTAGGAATAATGAATCAAATAAAGGAGTACTTATATTCACAGGTAAACGTTTATTGAAGGATATTTTGCTGCGTTGTTTTAAAAACAATAACTTTTTAAAATTATCAATTCAAATGCAAGATATAACGGGACAATCATAATGCTTATTTTTAAACTTAATGGAAGTGTGAGCTGAGATATTTTTAGCTAGGTCTTTGTGAAAAAAAGTATTGATCCCCAATTATATTTTAGCAAGAAAAATAACATGTTTTGTGAGTTCAAAGTTATTATAGTTCATGTAAATTGTGTTTTATTAAGGATATTGACAGTGAGATCTCTGTAAAATTATAATTCTCAATGAAGGCAGTTCATGAAAGCTAGACATTTGAAGAAAACAAAATACATCCTAATTTAAAGTATCTTTAAAAGATGTTTTATTCAAAGACAGTTAGTCAAGCTTAAGGGGGATGTACGGCCACCTTTAGTGCAGTGAGAACAAAATGTAAACATTTCTTAAAATGGCTAAAATACATTATATTTTGATCAAATTTTAAGTTTTTATGATAAAATACAATAAATATGCACAACTGAATGCATGTTGTGCATATATAATCTATACTTTTGCAGAAAAATGCTTTTGATATGCTCCTTAGAACTGCAGAGCTACAGAATTCAGCAAAGCCTTAAAAAATCCAAAAAAAAATACACAAACTGTGCATTAATGTCTAAATTTTGCACTTTTAAATGATAATCTCAATTTCAAAACAAAGTAACGTTGTCTTCAAAAAGAGGGTAAAGAACCATGAAAGTAGTTCATGGATAGCAGCACGTGGTCTATTTTTAGCACAGAATTTTGTTTTCCAGACCTCTTATTAATATGGAGGGACATAACAATCTTTAAATGTAGAAGAGAATTACAGTTGCGAAATATTTCAAATAATATGAACACTTTTAAAAGAGGAAATGTGTTATAGTGTTTCTTGAAGTTATTTATTCTAAATAGTGTACGTATTGATATAAAAAAAAATCTTAAACTCTTTGATTCAAGTAAAGGAAAAATGAGCACCAACAAAGTTAAAAATCAAGAGTTTGTAAGTTTGCCAAAGATAACTTATAATATCTATCAAAAGTTAAATTATCACCATTGAAACACAAAGAAATTAAACACATAAAATCGATATGAATGACCTTGTTTTAGTACCTAATAGTACGAGGGGTGATCAAAAAGTTCGCAAACTATCTCTATACATGTGTATCTACAAAACCACAATTCAGATTAGAAACAAATTTGGTGCACACGTAGCCAAACACAAGTTCTATAAATAGCATATGCTGAATAAAGTTTTGCTCACAATGTAAAAATGACGTCATTATGCAGGTACTTGTGACGAAGAATGGTTGTCTCAGTGGAACTCGTTCAACAAACGACTAAAATATTTATGGTATATCTTAAAAATGCCTTTGAAGTAGCGTATAAGAATTTGTTCACAGTGTATTAAGACAAATGACTTCCTATAAATTCAATCAATGATTGGATAGATCGTTTTAGTGAAGGAAGGCAGATAGTTAATTAAATATGATACTTGTTATGTTGCCCCGTGAAAGCAAGTTTGAAAAGGGATGTGTTTTTAATTAAGCAATATGCTATCAAAGACCTCCAATTTACACTTTGAAAAATACTCGAATATTTCAACAATTATATAACTATCAAATACCTAAGATATCGTTTACTTTTTGATCTCCCCTTGTATACTCTGTCAAATAAACATTTACAGTTTTCATTACAGCGAAGCAACATTTGAAAAGGAATGAAATCAAGCAGAGTAGGTTAGAAGATTTAATGAATAAAAAACTTGTTTTTCTATTTGCCCATTTTGTCAAAATTACAATTTTACAGAGTAAAGAAAAAAATCAACATTATTAAATATTTTATACCATCTTTAAAATGACGTTTGGTGATCCTCCCAACTCAGGATAAATTATTGGGTCGGTATTTAAATAGGTGAAAAAAAGATATCACTTTTTTTGCGATGATAGACATAGCATGTGCAATGGACCTTTCTTTGCAAACATTGTGCTTGCTTCTAAATTTCAAAGAAACAAATCAATAATTTTATCAAGCTTCCTATGTTCAATGAGCGAGAGCTTACAACGTTGTCAACATAATGAGACATGATGCGGTTTTATGTCCAAACATTACTCCATACAATGTGTGGGTCATTGCAAACAATCTAGCTATTTATGTGAGGTGCCTTAAGGAAACCTTATAACTGCCTATTGTTTCTATCTAACTGCTAAACAAAATAGACATATGTACCAACTTTTCGAATGTAAGACACGTAATTAATATTTGTTTTTCATGCACCGCATATTGTTTAACATTTTCTAATTAAATGCTAGGCATCCTCCTTGCAGTGCCCCATTTGAAAATAACTTCTATCGCCACAGAAAAAGGACCCGACGTAAACACATATGTTTAGGACATTTTTTATCTTTTTTATCGAGTTTTAAAGAAACCAACAATTTATCAAGACTTGTTCCATGAAAAATTAAAATAATCATGATAATTAACGCGTCTATCCACAGCAGATATATGCACATGCCAACCACGTGCTCAGTGGAATGATATTAACAAGGAAATTCGAGCTGTAAACAGAACAGTTTTTCCCGATTTGCTGGAGTGGGGTTAAAATTGCGTTTTTTCAATAATCAGACGATGCGATGTAACAAATAAAAGTAGCAAGTTATATAATCTAATGATTATTACTTAGTAAATTTTTGTCTTGATGTTATCATGGTTATTATGGTCGCATTTATTCTAAAATCGATTTTATTCGAACTCTGTGAGACAGGGGAATGGCGGACGAAATAAACACATGGCCTCAGGAAGACACCCATATGAAAAATCAAATTTTCAAGAATTATATATAATGACAAGAAAAAAGTGAAACAAATGGTTGTAGCCATATTAACAATGAATCAAACTAACACCATTTTCAATGTATTTTTCATCTCGTGAATGCTGTAGCTGCGCAGTTCTTACATGATTAATTTCCTCCTAATTAAAACAAAATAAACTTAATAATTTATTAATTTTGGTCTCGAACAGTAGGTAATCAGTGCATTAGCACTTTGAGTAACTTTGGGCTTGTTAGTAGAGTATAAAGCGCATTCTTGATATTTGTTATTTCACACCAGACTAGATCCAATATGGCTTGTATATCCCCCTTAAAAGTACTTGGACACAGATTTGAAGTTATTATTTTCTCTATAATATTACAACTTATATATTTTGATATAAAAGATATTAAAATTTCTAATTTTTCTGCGGGTTTGATTGACAAATCCTTGCACTTTTACAAATTTATTTTATTCTTAATACTTAGGAAAAAGTGGCAATATCGTTGTGTATAAATGAAAAATATTAATACTTTAATCCAGAAAATTCAGAATAGACATGTTCAAAAGCAAAACAAACATGCAATATTTTGTCAGTCCGTGCAGTTTTGGTAAGCAGATTGTGACGTTTGAACGCACCCGGTGAATTATAAACATAAACAATAACAGAAGTCGTGCCTGTTTACAAAAACTGTGTACATAACACGAGTGTGCTCGATTTGCTAAACTCTGTACGCAACTCTTAGTTCGGAATGACGATGCTTGTGAAGGAGTTTTGCTTTCTAACATTTCTACTCTGAATAAAATTATTTTTCTGGATAAACGTTTTAATATTTCTCATTAATATACAACAAGATTGCAACTTTTCCTAAGGATTATGAATAAGGTTAAAATTTGTGAAAGTGCAAGGATGTGTCAATCAAAACTCGCCAAAAAATTTAAAGTTTTAATAATTTTTAAATGAAATAAGATTTTTATTTAATTTTTGTTTGAAATGCTATTAAAATATATAAGTCGTAATATTATAGAGAAAATATTGACTTCAAATCTGTGTCCAAGTACCTTTAAAATACTGTTGTAGGTAGTAGAAGTAAATTAGCTGCCAATTCTTATGCTCAAGTTAAACAATCGAAAATTGGGGTATATAAATTAAAACAAAAGGGAAAAAAAGACAAACTAAACGAGCCTTTAAAATAAATAATCTTTTTTATCTACTAGTATATTGAATACATGTATGTAGAAAAAATCTAGCATTTATTACATTTTAGGTGGATCTGCATTCGCTGGCCCATTTGAAGGAATTTATTTGGTAGGTTTTATTAGGATTAAGGTATGGGGATTGTGTGATCTACCACCGGCAAAGTTCACAAGCTATGGTAGGGAAAGCATTTCAACAGGTAAGCTTTTCTTTCTTCCTTTAATTATATATAACTTTGGTGATAAGTTATTAAAAAATGTCCCGTATATTTATTATTATTGTCGTTATGGGTATTTCCTGTGTGGACAGAGTGGTGGATCTGTGTGGTTTTTTATGTCACGTGACATGGTCATATAAATAGCAGGTGCGTGCTTTAAAAGTTATTCTACCGCTCGTACAGAACGTTGTAAGGAAAAATACATGGACGTTGGAAATCTGACTATTCCAGAGACAATTATATTAAGGATTGTATAGATAACAAATTGAAAGTGTCTAATAGTCTTTTCGTGTAAATATAAATGAATATATATTAATAAATATATATGCATATATAGTGTGTGTGTGTAGACAGGTATTATTATTATTTACACTTTTCTCTTTGATTGTTCTACGTTATGACGAGCAGCATTCCATACATATGAGTTGATTATTCTTTCAATACAGAATAAAGAGTATAATTAATTTATATTCGGACGAACGAAGTGAAGGAGAATATAATTATCATTATTGTCGTTACGGGTATTTCCTGTGTGAACAGAGTGGTGGATCTGTGTGGTTTTTATGTCACGTGACATGGTCATATAAATAGCAGGTGCATGCTTTAAAAGTTATTCTACCGCTTGTACAGAATGTTGCAAGGAATGGAAACCAGTAAATTAGGCACACACACACATATACATGTATGTATCTATATATATATATAAGTATTATTTAATGATTAAAAATAATGGGTGTTGAAATAAATACA